ACTGTTTCAAACCCTTGCGTGTTGTAAAAGTGACAATGTACATTCATGCCAAGGGTTCAGCTCTGGAACAGATCCCAAGCAGTGTAGCCTTAAGTCCAGATGAAAGAGCTTGAAAACGTTCAACTACTTGGGAAGAGTTTTCTCTACAAAGCCCTCATGTGGGTGGAATGAAAAGCTCAGGCAGCAAAAGAAACATACATGCACGTGAGGCTGAGGCCACTAGTAGTTTAAACATAATCAGAGACAAATGATCATGCTAAAGAGCACAAGAAAGGAAAAAAGAAGAAAGAAGTTTGATTTTCCCCCAGCGAAATTCATAGAATATAAAAAAAACAAACACAAAAACAACAGACTGTGAACATATTATGTAACAAAGGAAGTAAGGAAGGAAGAAGAAGAAGAAGGGGGGTCGTGTATATCATCAAAACATTTCAGCAGTTCGCTATCAGAAAAGGTATGAATGGGCTTGATTAGCTCACAAGGAGATAAAACAGCCCTGCAGGCAAAAGATAGGACCCGTGTTTCGTCTAGTCACTGGTCTTTTTCCCGTTATGGCCCCGCGATCCCACAACAACAAGACATTTCCTGACTTCTGAGAAAAGTCCTGAATCACTGCTGCAAACTGGGAGGAAAACTGGATCAGTAGCAAACAATGGCTTCTGCGTTAGCGAGGTCTGTGCTGATGTACCTGCACCACAGCACACGCTGGGAGCTCAGCCTACCAATAAAAGAGCAACTCTGAACAAGCACACTTACACTTGTGCATTCACATGGGCAAGATGTGGTGCAACTTTTTTTAAGGTTTCCATCAGCTATGACTAGACCTCTGTGTACTCTACCTGCAAGCACACTTTTCTTCATAAAGAAGTGGATACCACACCACCTCAGCAACTACTACAAACTACTACATTAGAGGTCACTCACTCTGGGACACAAGTTTATTTCTCTGTGACTGCAGCTAATATTTCAGTTACTGACTAGATTTATGATTTTGACTGCTGATTAGGCACCGGCTAATGGCTGGGCCTTACTTAATAAGACTGGACTTAAAAGAAAGTGCATGAATTATAGACATATACCTCCCTATCCCCACCATTAGACGACTTTATTGACACGATAAGAGCACTCTGGAGAAAAAGGACACCGTATTAGCTAACCCAAAGTGTAGGTTATCACGGAGCTATCGTTTAAATGCATAAACAGGGAGGGGGTCACATCCTCTGCATGTAGTCAAAATGTCCATCCAAATATTGTGAAATAAAAAAATTAAAAAAATTGCTACACTACAACTATGCACCACTGCCTTAAATAATCAACAGATTTATAACCATAAGTATTAAGTAAACAAATGACCAGTAATATTATGAGCTGGTGTAGTATTTCATATCTGCAGGTGGTTTGTTCAAGTGGTGTTGCATTAACCCAGCAGAAGCTGTTGCTCATTTGCTGTGGGCTTGTATGTATACCACTGTCTACTATGCAGTCTCTCCATTTCATTATTTTGAAATATAGAAGAGTTTGCCCCCACCCCTCCTCCAAAGTTATGTGGCCTTGAGTTGTGTATTTTATATAAATTATATGTTTGCATATTTTTTTAAAGGAGACAACATGGGTCATGACTACTGCTGTGCAGACATCTATCCTGAGTCTCCCATAAAGTTTTCACAGGATAAGTATTTAGGGCTCAATGAAATACAGAGCCATATACAGAGCTTCAATATGCACAGCTAATGGTCACTCTTAACCAGCTAGCTTGGGTCATTCCCATCTCATTCCCATTTCCATTCTGCAATCAGACAGACATCAGTGACGGCAGTCCTTGTTCAGCCTGAGAGAACCGATTTGAGCTGGAGCATCACTCTAACCAGAACCTGAAGCAGGCGGAGAGCTGATTCGTTTGCCAGCAGACCAAGTTCACTGCTGAGAGAAGAGAGCAGACCGAGGACCGCTGCTTGCTGCGGTTCAGAAAGTGAAGGTGCAGCTCACCTATGACGCGCTCAGTTGAAAGACAGCTGACTATTTCTTTAGTGCTCATTGTCACAAAGTAACATAGTATTATTTTATGTATTTTAGACAGTTGCTTTTGCACACATAAACACCAGTGTGTACGAGGAGCAGGAGTTTCACTGTATGTTCGACTAAAGTCATTAGAGAGGGACATGAACTTACAGTAAATTGGCTTCTACACATACGTTACCATGCAGACTAAGATAAATGGGTTATACAAAAGAGCTTGTTTGCTATCCATCTATAATAATAATAATAATAATAATAATAATAAT